AAATTTAGATGAGCGCTCGGGTGCTTATTCGAGGAAATACAGTACCTTTCAAGCCCGCTCGGCTCAGTTTGGTTTATAATGATAGAAAAGTAATAGTATTTCAAATACCTTTTGTGTTTTTATGTAAGCAATTGTAGCAAAGGTTTCGCTTGACTCGACCATTGTTTATGTTATAAGACGAAACCTGTGTGAACATGATGCGTAGACAGGTCCCGTTAATGTTAGTTATTGCTGAAATTATTTCCAGTTTTTTTAAATCAACATCATTCTCACTTTTAAATTAAGCAACCGTGTGGCATATTTTGTCTAAAATTCACTCATTATTATTAGGGTTAGTTGGTAAAACCTGTGTTAAGATGACTGACATTGACAGGTCCCGTTAATATTAGATAATGGTATTCCTCGTTGATTTAAGCTCGATATATTTTCACTGATAATGTCGGAGTTTTAGTTAAGATTGCGTTAACAAGAAGTAAGTCAACGCTTGTGATTGCATCACTGCATGTGGACAAAGTCAAACCCTGACAGGCCTAATGTCAATTTTACTCAAAAAAGAGAGGTTGATAAATTAGTTAATGGACATCCACAGCATGATATTAAACATTATTACGAGCAAAGATATTTTTTCCGGTATTGACTTAATATCCGCGGAAGTTATCCTCCTAAGGGGAAATTAGTGTGGGTACACTTGATTTTTATTTGGCTCTCTTGATCCTTTGGCCTTGCCTATAATTCCGTCTTTTAGGCTTTGGGGTAATTTTCCGCCATTCCGTCTTTTAGGAGTTGCTGCTAGCAAATGACTGGAAAAAATGGGGTCAAATCCAATGGAAATTGGGTCTTGTTCGAGTAAGCGGGGGTTTCGAGTTCGCCGGGTTCGAGTTAGCAGGGTTCTAGTGACAGGATCTATTCTCACCATGCAAATTAGACGAATTAGTGATGTAGCGTCCACTCATAGCTACTTGAAACTGTACTTTAATCAGTTGTTCACTTGCTAGTTCGTTTCTAATCTGCACATAACTTGTATTCATTCCATTCACAAATTGCACGTGAAAGAGAAAGATTCGCTGAAATAACAACAACGCGACTATTACAAAGATGATATTGACCGAATAACCGAAATACTGCATACTTACAAGTTATTGTGCCTTCTAAATAGAAAGGAAAACTTGTCCTAACGAAACGACAGTATAACTCCATAACAAAACATGTGCTTTTCGTGGGAAAGAGCGCCCGCGATATTTTGCGTGCGGTCACCGAAGACCACACCATATAACGTTTATTTTCTGTCTCTTACAAGTGAAATAGCCTTTTTTTGTCCAGAAAGTTTATTTCTTCCGCTGATATGTAAGCCGTAAATTTCACAATAGGATGGTGGTGTTTTGGACACCTGGTTGCGAAGAAATTCTTCAAATTCTTCAAATTCTTCTTGACGGCTTCCTTCTGCTAACTTTCTTTTGTCTTTTCACGCCATGAGAAATTCCCACGCGCGTGACACCCTGCAAACCTCTCTTCACCTAGTGTTCTCAAGTCCCAAAACTTATTCGTGGATGAAAAAACGCTCGTATTGAAGGGCTCGTGACGAGGGTTTGCTCTCACGCTAGTCTAAGTTTGGAGCTGGGGCTAAACGTTGTCATATTTTGAGAAGCCTGAAAACGTTCCTGTGATGTTCTCACATTTACAAGCATATGAGATATTATTGTTTCAATAAATCAATGCAGACGTGACCAGGAAACGTATCAAAGTTACAATTGTTTATTGTAATGTGGCATGTCGAGTTGGTTTTCACATGCTGTGCGACTTTTTATGCCGCGACTAAAACTCATAGCAAATTTTGCATAACAAAAGGTAACTAAATAGGTTTACAACGCGAAAACGCAGCTATCTTTCATGCATAATGGTTCATTTTTTTTTTACCACTCAGTAAAAGAAAAAAAATTAATAACACTTAATTTTAGTCACGCGCGGTATCGTCGTGGGGATAAATGAGCCAAGCGCTTGGTGTCTTTGTACAAAATTTGTGCAACATGCCTTGACATCCGTTCCGTGTTTTAGGATTTGGGGTCATTTTCCGCCGTTCCATGTTTTAGGATTTGGGGTCATTTTCCGCCGTTCCGTGTTTTAGGATTTGGGGTCATTTTCCACCATTCCTACATTTCGCCATTCCACCGTTCCAGCTTTCAGGGTCGCCCCGGAATTACTACAGACCATGATCACCAAAATACACATGCTATTAAATATTTTACATAACAGTTTCTTCAGTTTATCACCAGCATAATTTCGCTACAATTCCACCAAGAAACATCTTTCGGATGCCATACAATGTAACTTCAACAAGAGTTCACCCTTTTCTCGTAGAGACGTGACCTAACGGTTACATACACAAGAGACAGATCAGACTATCTTTTTCTGATGTGATGCTTCTTTTCCATGGTTACTATGGCCTTCTCGTTCCTATGTACAATAAATGCAAGTTAGAGAGATTTATTATTTGATTTTAATTTCGGCACCCTTAATTCTCTGTCTGCAGAACCCGATTATTCCAGTTGTTGCTGCAAAGAAGGAATTTGCATATTTATGACCTACCGTTTGATTTTCTTTTCAACATCTTTTACTTTCCCTTGATCTTCATCTTGTACACAGCTCAATTCATTTCTAAAAAAAAAAATTTAAATGGGTGGAGATACTTACACAATATGTTCAGTTTAATACTTAGTAATTATATTTGCTAAGGTGGAAAGAAAGGGGAGTACGAATACGATATTTATATTATTGTGAAAACAGGTTTTTGCCTTCACAAATAAACGGACGGACGGGGGACAACCCGATAAACTTCTTCTGGGATAAGGCTTTCCTGGGGGCACTCGCTGGCTGCGGGAAGGCCGAAATCTATTACGGCTGTTGACTATCCTCGAGACAATTACTAACAACGACAAAGTTGGCTCCAAAGTAGATTTATTAAATACCACTGAGCTGACTGGTTTTTTACCTGACTTGACCAGACAGGGTTTGACCGAAGAAAGTTCTACAAAACAACTCATGTAAACCCAAAAATACATGTTTTTCTTATACTATGTAAAAAGTGGCGTAGAAAATGAATCTGAAATTCGTTTTGTCCAATTCGACTTATTTTAGGAGAAAATCGGCATTTTCAACTGAAATTTCATTTCCGGTAAAAACAATAGTGAGAAGTCGTGACGTAAGCGGTGGAACTAAAATATTGCGCAACACATATTCCCCAGTAGAACTGGTGTGGTAGCTCGTGTAAGTAACGGTAGTTCGAAGATGCTTTATCAGAAGATAGCGACTCGAATGCCCTAAGCTTAGTATATGACAGCGATGGGGATAATCCAGAATCTTTAGGAGAGTCTGGGCCACGTCCTTAACAATATGAGCCGCGTAGGGTTAACCGAAGCGATCCGCACGAAGACAGTACAGAAAATGTTGACAGCGATGCGATCTCCTCGGAAACCCAGACTGGTATTTAAATTAATGTGTGATTTATTTGTGTTTGACATGAAAATCCAATAAAGCAAGGGTACAATCTAAAAGAATGCAACAGAACTGTTTTAAACCCGCTGAGCTTCCGAGGGTGTTTTATGTAATGTTTAAAAAACGAGCAGGAGTGTTTTATCGGGTTTTTGACCCGATAAAACATGTGCTGCGAGTTTTTTGAACGGCTTCAAAAACATTCTTGGAAAAGCGGGCTGATCTCCGGTGTAATAGCCACAGCTGACGTCATGAGTCGCTTACCATCGGACTTGGCATAAATATAATACTGATAAAACGGTAATTGTGTAGTTCTCGGTAGTTCTCTGGTTCTCGTGGTTCCCTTAGTTTTCTTGGTTCTCGTGGTTCTCTTGGTTCTCATGGCTCTTCTGGTTCTCGTGGTTCTCGTGGTTCTCGTGGTTCTCTTGGTTCTTCTGGTTCTCGTGGTTCTTCTGGTTCTCGTGGTTCTCGTGGTTCTCTTGGTTCTTCTGGTTCTCTTGGTTCTTCTGGTTCTCGTGGTTCTCGTGGTTCTCGTGGTTCTCTTGGTTCTCTTGGTTCTCTTGGTTCTCTTGGTTCTCTTGGTTCTCTTGGTTTTCTTGGTTCTCGTGGTTCTTCCCCCCCCCCCACCCCCCAAGCTCTTAGCCTTTGGATGTCTGAGCCAGCAGTATGGTCAGTGGCTGTAAACATTTTAATCATTTTCCCGCGCTTTCTTGACCTCCTGTTGACCTCTTCCTTCGACAATTATGGATGGCGAGAGCGAGCTTCGCACTATTTACTCTGCTTCTGGTGCTCTCATTAAGACTTCTAAGCCTCTTAAGCTCATAAACAGAGTATGGTATTCTGTAGAGAGAAAAGATTGTTGAAAAGGTGAATCAATAACCAATTTTTTCTTTTACATCTTTTTACACAAGATCTAAGACAAATTGAACACATTTCCTATAATATGACATTCAAATTAATAATAAAGTTATACAATGGTGATGCTAATAGTGTAAAGAATCATACGATGCACCTGTATTGTATATACAAGTGTGCCAATTGTCAGCTTGACAAATTCATAATAATGGCTCTATCATGTAACTCTCTAACAGACAATACATGTAGGATTGAGCACAACATTGGTTAAAATGTATTTACATACTCCATACCTTTCACCATGCTTTATGTTATGGAATCCTTTGGGAAAGTCATGTCTGCATACTCGCCCAAAGACACCTTTCTCGTCAAAGAGTTTGTTTTTGCCTTTTGATCTTAAAGCTGAAAGAACCTCTCCAGCATGGAACTTACTGCAGTTCCATGAAAAAAAAAGGGACAAAAACAGAAAATCTTGAATTTAAAGGGCCAAAAGGAAAATCATAAAGTTATAAAATTAACATCTATGCCATAATGTATGAGCATTGCATTATCTTAAGTACAGACCTGTTCCATGTCTGCTCCAGCTTTGCCATAACTGTTGATAAAATTGTAAACATCATCCTGGTCTGCAAATAGGAGTGTTCCATGTTTGGGTGTTCCTAAATTATGCCCTTTGTCCTTCTTTCTGCACAATCCAAAGCACCCATCCATGCTTTCAATGAAAACACCATCATCCTGTTCAAAAGAGAGGGGAAAAGAGAAAAATATATATAAAAAAGAACAGCAACAACAACATAAAATTAACAGTGTAGAACTACAGTACTAGTGTAAAAGATGAGTGCATTTTGTGTGCCCCAAAATTAATGCTATAATATTCCTCAAGCACAAGCTACTATTCAGAACCAATTGCAATGTATAGTTACCCTTGGACATATAGGACACCAAGCTCCATTATACAAACTTCCATTGTACTTTGTACAATACCTGTACTGATACATGAAATACCTTCATGTGAAAACAACAAAATGTCAATTAGGACTTTCTTACAGAAAGTCAGTAAATGTACATGTACAGCAAGAAAGATGTTTTGTAAATTAATGTAAATGGAATCTTGACCTTAAAGCAAACATTCAATGTATCTTTGAATCATATGAACACAAAAGTGACAAAAGCAAAGCATGAGTTTGAGATCTATATTAGCTGGGGGACTAGATAATAAATAAATGAATAAAATGATAATATAAATATGCACTTGTAAATCATGTGACTACCTCTATTACTAGTACTACTACTAATAATAATATTAATGATAATATAACAAGAACAACAACAATAATAATAGTAATAACATTAATTCTAATATCAATAATACCTTAGAAGACATTGTACGTCCACAAATTAGCAGCTCTGATACTCTCAACCTATATATGCACACATACCTGAATTCTTCAAAGCATTCTGAATTAAGGATACTGTAAATTGAGCTCACCTAAAAAAAAAAACATACCATTCAACCAGAATCAATCAATTAAAAAAAGTCTTGTCATGTCTCAAAAAGACTCTTTGCAAGCAAACCTACATGGGTTGGTTGTAGCTGAGGATTGAGTTCTGTGATCACTTCTGTGATGCTTAGCAGGGACACTTGACAATGAAGAAAGACCTTCTCCACAAACTCCATCAGTTTGAAGCTGAATCCTGTGGTGGGATTTGCTGGTGACCCTGGCCAGAACTGGCATTTCAAGAGTGTGACAGCATATGGCTCACAATCACACACTTGTACATATTTGAGGTGATGATTTCCTGACATTCATAGAAAAATAAATGAACAACTTAAGAAGTTAAGTAAACAAAATGAAAAAAAACATTACATACAGCTTTAAATACCTCTTACTTTGTTGAGGGCCGCATAGACACCTTATTAACCAAGTGCAAGGGTCATACTAGGAGAATATTGGCCCGAGGTCTTGACAGTACAAACCAAGTACAGCAAGGTCTGTACAGAAAAGTCCAAGGGCCAATATTCTCCCAGCATGACAGAAAAGATTCTTACAGATAGATGCAATCCAAGTTTATATTTGGCAAGCCATTAAAAAACTTAATTTCATGCGGGATCATTCAGGACATTACCCGGTCCAATACTTAGAAAATATTGGACAGGCAATGGAGCAATCTGATTATTTGATTTTAGTTATTGGCCCTGACATGTTGAGAGAACTTAAATCGTATCATTATCATCAAGATCATTAGTGTTCTTGATTTTAGGCAAGTGGCAGGAAAATATGAAAAAGGAACAGATAAAATTGAAAAAGAACACTTCGTTTTTAAACCATTCTAGTATTCTCTAACCACTATAAATAAAATGAACTGACCTAAGGCATCCAGAAGTCCGAACAGCTTTACTGCTGCGGTTCTGCACGTATGGCCATAGCTGTTTCACGATACGCAAACTTCCGGTGTTCGCCATAGTTTCCGGTTTGTATAAACTGTCAATCAAATAAACGTGTTTTAGCTTTTCACAAAAAGCCGTGTTCACTGTGAAACACAAACATGGCGTCAGGAGTGGGATGCGCAAGGAAAAACGGTCTTCGCAACTGTAAAAGTCGTCGTAACTCATCACAAAAAGCCGTTGAAACGTAGGTCTAAGAAGACGAAAGCACTTTGGCAACAGAGTTACAAAAAACAAGACGAAATACGAAGAAGACATGCCTCCACCCGACGAAAGTTCGTCAGGACAACAAGCGCCGAGCGCTCCAAGCGCTCCAGTTTTGAATTTTACTTCGAACTTTCCAGTTCCAAGCCCAATGAAAATATCCGGCGACAGAGTCACAAACTGGGAGTTCTTTCGACAGCAATGGCAAGACTACGAGCTTGGCACCGGTCTCGAACATCGTCCAGAACCAGTTCGTTTAGCAACCTTTCGCTCAGTCATGGGGAAAGACTGTCTTGAGATATTTTTAAACCTAGAGTTGACTCCGGAAGAAAGGGCAAGCGTGACCTCCAGTTTAAAAGCTTTGGAAGCATATTTCAAGCCAAAAACAAATGTGGTCTACGAGAGATTTCTGTTTAATTCAGCTACACAAAGTTCCGAAGAGGGAATAGACGAATTTGTAAATCGATTGAGAAAGATGGCTTCGTCGTGTAAATATGGCGCGCTCACAGATGAGATGATACGAGACAGAATCGTAATAGGCGTCCGAGATAAAGCTTCAAAGCTACGACTACTCAAAGAAGATGAACTGGACCTGAATAAAGCACTCAGTATTTGCAGGTCTAATGAAGCGGCTTCCAAACAGCTCAAGTTTATGAAACAGGAGGAAATCCAAACAGATGAGCAAGTCAACGCCGTGGACAGTCAAGCGAAACGACTCGACAAGCGGCACAAACAAAAGAAAGACGCAAAATATGGAAAGAATGGAAAGGCTACAAAGGGCGCGAAGAAGAATTGCAGCAGATGCGGAGCAACAAAGCAACATAGGAAAGAAGAATGCAAAGCATATGTTCAAACCTGTCACCTGTGCTCGAAGCCGAATCATTTCGCATCTGTTTGTCGCTTTAAAAACAAGCCAGCAGGCGGAAAGACAGTATCCAGAGGACACAAAAGTGTGAAGCAAGTCACTGAAGAAACGGATACGTCCAATGACTCCAATGATGATTTGACCGATGATGAAGATCCAGTCTTTAAAATTGAAGAAGTCTCCAGCATGAAGACGGCAGGCAAGCAACTCAACGCCAAGATAATCTTTTCAGACACAGAAGAGTTATACAACACCGAATTGGAATGCCAGCTAGACACCGGCGCCACGTGCAACGTGATGAGCCTGCGCGACCTGGCCGTCATAAGCCAAACAGGAGATCCACCACTGAGAAGTAGTAAAGTGAAGCTCAAGTTGTTTGACGGTTCTCTCATGAAGCCTTCTGGTGTAGCCACCTTAAAGATACATCGAGACAATAAGACCAAAGAGTTGGACTTTCAGATTGTTGAGACTGTAAACAAGCCTCTTCTATCCGCGGAAACATGTGTGAAGCTGGGACTGTTGAAGCTTTCCTTAACAGGTACAGCGCAAGTAAACAGTATGGGTACAGAGCCAGTAAAGTCTAGTGTCCCACTAACCAGAGAGAAATTCTAGCTGACTACAAAGATGTGTTCGAAGAACTTGGTCACAAAGGGGAATCCAGCACCTTTGTTATCGGCCCAAACCATCCCCCAGTGCAGCACGCGCCCGGGCGCATACCTGTAACTCTACAAAAGGAAGTCAAGGAGAAGATCGCAGAGTTGGAGAAGAAAAGGTTACCGACCCCACAGATTGGATCAGCAGTATGGTCATCGTGTCCAAGCCAGGAAAGATAAGAATTTGTCTCGACCCCCGAGATTTGAACAAGGCAATCCAGAGACCTAAGTACCAGATGCCAACATTAGAAGAGATACTCCCAAAACTCAGCAAAGCGAAAGTATTTACCACACTAGATGCGAAAGATGGGTTCTATCAGATCGGATTAGATGAAGAGAGCAGTAAGAAAAAAACTTTCTGGACTCCCTTTGGCAGGTACAGATATCTTAGAATGCCCTTTGGTATTAGCGTGGCTCCCGAGGAGTTCGAGTGTAAGCTACACGAAAAGCTTACCGGATTAGAAGGCGTCGAAATTCTTCGAGATGATCTACTAGTAGTCGGATATGGAGATACCCAGGAAGAAGCTGATGCCAACCACGATGAAAACCTCAGAAAACTCCTAGACAGAGCCAGAGAAGTCAAACTCAAGCTGAACAGCAAGAAGATGAACTTGAAGAAACCCCAAGTTAAGTTCATGGGCCATGTTATTAGCAAAGATGGTCTCAAACCAGATCCAGACAAAGTCAACGCAGTGGAAAACATGCCCAAGCCAACATGTAAGAAAGAGACTCTTAGTCTACTGGGTTTCATCAACTATCTGGCCAAATTCTTACCAAGACTATCTGAAGTAGCACAGCCGTTGAGAAATCTGACCCTGACCAACGCCCAGTTTATGTGGTCTGAGCAACACAAAAAGACGTTCGATGAAGTGAAGAAGTTGGTAGCAAACCATCCAGTACTCAAGTATTACGACATCAATGACGAGGTTACTATTCAGTGCGATGCCAGCGAGCGAGGCCTTGGTGCGACACTCCTCCAGAACGGACAGCCAGTTGCCTTCGCATCGCGAACACTGTCTGCAGAGAAAGAATGTCTGGCCATTGTGTTCGGTTGCCAAAAGTTCTCACAGTACATGAAAAGACGAGAGAAAGTCACCGTCGAATCAGATCATAAGCCGTTGCAGTCAATATTCAAGAAATCGCTTCTGTGTGCGCCAAGCCGTCTCCAAAGAATGATGCTTCGGCTACAGAGATACAACCTTGAAGTGGTCTATAAACCAGGAACGCAGATGTTTGTGGCCGATCACCTGTCCAGAGCTTTCCTGAAAGATACAGGCCCAGAGGATGAAGAGTTTCAAGTTTTCGCTCTGGAGCTGGAAGCGATGAACCCGTTTGATACCATCAAGATAAGTAGTGAGAGACTGCCCCAGCTTCAAAAGGCCACCGAACAAGACCCGGTCATGCAAACTCTCAAAACTACCATTCTGATTGGTTGGCCAGAGAGGAGAGAAGAAGTACCAGTCCAGATTAGAGAATTTTGGAATTACAGAGAAGAACTAACACTTCACAACAGCATCATTTTCAAGAATCAGCGAGTCATCATTCCAAAAGCTTTAAGGCCAGAACTGACCGCAAGAGCTCATTCCAGTCACCAAGGAATTGAAGCCTGTCTACGAAGAGCGAAAGATGTAGTTTTCTGGCCCTCCATGACCAAAGACATCAAAGAAGCTGTTGAGAAATGTGAGATATGCGCAGCATTCCAAGCGAAGAACGTCAAGCAGCCAATGCAGACACCTGAAATACCTGATCGTCCATGGAGCAGAGTTTCGTCAGACCTGTTCACTCTGAACGGCAAGGAGTACATTGTGCTTGCAGACAGCTACTCAGATTTCATAGAAGTTGGCGAGTTAAAAGGCACAACTGCGAGCTACATCATAGAGTTCCTCAAAGGTCAATTCAGTCGCCATGGCATACCTGATGTATTTGTTACCGACAATGAACCGCAGTACTGCTGCCGAGAGTTCACAGAGTTTTCCAGAGAATGGGAGTTTAAACACGTGACGTCATCACCTAAACATGCCAAATCCAATGGCAAGGCCGAATCCGCAGTCAAAGTGGCCAAGACAATTTTCACGAAAGCTCACAGGGACAACAAAGACCCATGGCTTGCGTTATTGGATCAACGGAACACCAACACAAGGTGTGAACTCTAGCCCTGTACAGAGATTGATGTCCCGAAGAACACGTACATTGTTACCGGTATCAGCAAATCTTCTGTACCCCAGGGTAGAAGAAGGAGTCAAAGAGAAGTTGAAGGCCAAGAGGCAGACAGCTAAAGGCTATTACGATAGAAGTGCCAAGGTGCTACCAGAGCTTGAAATAGGCCAAGAAGTTAGAGTAGCTGGTCAACGAAACAAAGTCTGGGAAGCTGGCACCTGTGTCCAGAAGCTATCAGATCGCTCATACCTTGTTGAAGTCAATGGAAACACACTACGTCGAAACAGACAGGCATTGAGGCCCAAGAAAGACACCCAAATGACTGGTGAGACTACTATTGCTGAAACAAAACCACCCTCATCTGTGCCTGCAGAGACAGAAGGACAAACAACATTGAGGAGTACCAATCAC